TTATAATATTAATTTATACTTGAGAAAATTCCCGTTTTGAATGAACAGCATGTTAAAATTTATGAATGCGTCTGTGGGGTTGACCGCTGTATGTAATGGACTTGAGTCGAGGACGGGTTGTTTCATTCATAAACAGGATTTGGCGGGTGTATTGGTTAGGATGTATTCCTAGGATGGTTAGGTTAGGTTAGATTTTATTAGAAACATAAATACAAAACCTTTTCCGGTTTGTCCAAATTCAGTAGTACCAAATTCTACTTTCTAATTGTCCATTACGTCAATATATGTACAATGGTCAACATCGTAACTTTATAAATATAAAGTACATTATAAACATGAAGATGGGCTGATGTGGTGAGTGTAGGCGGGGATATGTCTATACCAAGTTGTAACTTGTACCTAGGTTCTCCCCTAGGTACTCCCTCTGTATTTACTATTTGTATCTGCATATTCGAACTATTGGACCTCGCCTTTCTAACCAATTTTATTTTTCCTCCATTATGTCTACTACATATATTTATGTTACACGCGCACACACACATCCCCAGGAAGCAGCCCGTAGCAGCTGTCTAACTCCCAGGTACCTATTTACTGCTAGGTAACAGGGGGTACCAGGGTGAAAGAAACTTTGCCCATTTGTTTCTGCCTGATCCGGGAATCGAACCCGGGCCACAGAATTACGAGTCCTGCGCACTGTCCACTCAGCTACCAGACCCCTACACAGACTGTGTGTGTGTGTACTCACCTATGTGTGGCTGCAGGATCGAGCTCTAGTTCTTGGACCCGGCTTTCCTAGCCGTTGGTTGTCTAATGGAATGACTCCTGACCTGATCCCTATCATACCTGTTTTTAAAGTTATGAATGGAGTAAGCCTCTACAACCTGCTCCTTTAGGTCATTCCATTTACTCACTATCCTTACGCTAAAAGAAAACTTTCTAATATCTCTATGACACATCCGAGTCTCAAGCTTCCATTCGTGTCTCCTTGTTCTGTTGTTATTCATTGCAAACATTTCCTCTGTTTCCATCTTGTACCTTTAAGTACTATATACGTCTGTATTATGTCCCCCCCGCCCTCTCCCTCCTCTCTAACGTCGTCAGGTTTAGTTCCTTCAGTCTATCTTCGTACCTCATCCCTCGCAATTCTGGAACGAGTCTCCTAACAAACGTCTGCACATTTTCGAGATTCCTTATGTGTTTTTTTAAGATGGGGCTCCACGATGGGGCGGCATACTCTAAGACTGTCCTCACACAGGCGGTATACAGTGATCTAAGAGCCTCCTTATTCAAGTGCCTGAAGGATGTTCTGATTTTTGCCAGCGTAGAGTATGCGGCTGATGTTATTGTATTTATATGAGCCTCTGGAGTTAGGTTTGGTGTTATGTCCACTCCCAAGTCTTTTTCTCTAGACGATATAGCGAGGCAGTTTCCCTTCATCGTATATTGGCCTTTCGGTCTCCTGGCTCCTGTCTCAATTTCCTTCACCTTGCACTTGTTAGTGTTGAACTCTAGCAGCCATTTCTTGGATCATCTCGCACAACCTGTGTGTGTGTGTCCGCCTTGCTGACACGATGTGTGTGTGTGTGTGTGTAGTCACCTAATTTTATTCACCTAGTTGTGGTTGCGGGGGACGAGATTTGGCTCTTTGGCCCCGCCTCTCAACTGTCAATCTACTGGTGTACAGATTCCTGAGCCTACTGGGTTCTATCATATTTACATTTGAAACTGTGTATGGAGTCAGCCTCCACCACATCACTGCTTAATGCATTGCATTTACTAACTACTCTGACACTGAAAAAGTTATTTTTAATGTCTCTGTGGCTCATTTGGGTACGCAGCTTCCACCTGTATCCCCTTGCGCATGTACCACCCGTGTTAAATAAGCCATCCTTGTCTACCCTGTCAATTCCCCTGAGAATTTTGTATGTGGTGATCATGTCTCCCAAGCTCTTCTGTCTGCCAGCGACGTGAGGTGCAGTTCACTCAGCCTTTCCTCGTAACTCATGCCTCTTAGTTCTGGGACTAGCCTAGTAGCATACCTCTGAACTTTTTCCAGCTTTGTCTTGTGCTTGACAAGGTATGGGCTCCATGATGGGGCCGCATACTCCAGGATTGGTGTTACATATGTGGTATACAAGGTTCTGAAAGATTCCTTACACAAGTTTCTGAGGGCTGTCCTGATGTTAGCCAGCCTCGCATACGCCGTCAATGTTATTTTTTTATGTGAGCTTCAGGAGACAGGTTTTGCAGGTTTTGCGTGATAGATCCTGTGATAAAAGGTCCTTTGAGAGGATTACACATGCCATGCATAATGTCTTTAAACCTTTTTTCTGTTTTCACATTTACCTGGCGCGGGTGAGGCGTGATGACGGGACCTGGCGCGGGTGAGGGTTGCCAGGTCAGCTGTGTGGCGACCGTGGCAGTGTAGAGGGAAAGTGGCGCCAACACTTGACACCTTGTACATGTGTACTGCCACCTGGCTGGTAGGTGGTGGGTGTGGGGGGGGTGTAGGTCAGTGGGGAGGGTGTACAGGTAAGGGGGGGGGGGAGGGAGAAGTCAAAGGGCACATAAATGAAGCTGCAGCTGAACACTGTGATAGTGTCTTTGTCTCTGGTGCGTGTACACACACAAACACACACACACACACACACACACACACACACACACACACACACACACACACACACACACACACACACACACACACACACACACACACACACACAATGGGAGTAAGGACGTGGAGGAAAGACAGTCATCAAATGATAGAACAAATCAAATGCTGCTTTTTCTGCCATGTTCCCCCCTTTTTTTTTATTTTTTAATTGTTCTCAACACATTTTATACTTTAATCTCAATTAGTATTTAGTTTTAGTCTGGCTTAGTGGCTTTAGGCAGTGTATGTACTATAAATCTATCAACTTTTGTAAAACCTCTTGTATGTATGTACCTTACCTGAATAAACATTTATTTATTTATTTATTTATCAAACCGAGATGCAAAGAGGCAGAAGAGAGAGTCATACTAACAACAAGAGAACACATTACGAGAGAATATAATAACCCAAGGTTTAATAGACAATGCCAAGAAGCAAAATTGAAAAGTAGGATGGAGTGGGAAAATACAGAGGTCAAAGAGCAGGGAAAGCCCTTTAATAGGTGCAACAGTGCTAGGAATGAATACATAAATATACAAGTAACTTGTGAAAGAAACTGAAAATGATGACTAAACCACACACCAGAAAATGGAAAAACGACGAAGTTTCGGTCCATGGTTTATGAAGATAATATTGCCTCTATAGCAAGACACAACAAAGGCTCCTACATAGTCATATTAAAAAGGAAAATTACATCAAACAATCAAGTGACTGTGTTACAAAAAATGGGAGGTAAATATGCAAGAAATCATAAAGAAATTTGTGAGGAACTTAATGCCAGCTTCCGTAGAGTGTTCACAACTGAACCTGCACAGTTCCCAGTGCTAAAAGAGGTTACCTCTAGATGAAAGATTATTAAAAATTGAGGTAACAGCAGAGGAAGCAAGGAAACAACCTGGTGCGGGTGAGGCGTAAGGCCTTCACTTATGTGGCCTTACATCACAAGACGAACACACACAGAGATCACACCTACGTGATGCATCATGTGAACAAATCCACAAGGGCCGTGACGAGGATTCGAACCTGCATCCGGGAGCATCAGTCGATTAAGGCAGTGTCTGGGATGCTCCCTGACGCAGGTTCGAATCCTCGCCACGGCCCTTGTGGATTTGTTCACAAGATAAAACTAAAGCTACTGGACCAGACAACGTATCACCGTGGATGTTAAAAGAGCAGCACAGGCCCTCAGCGTACCTCTACCTTTGATCTTAAATGAGTCACTTATAAAGGGCAAATTGCCCAGCTGCTGGAAGACGGCAAATGTGAGATGAGTTACCAATTTACAGAGAGACAGACAAGAAGCACTCAACTGGAGACCGGTGTCACTAACGAGCATCCTCTACAAAGTACTTGAAAGAATAATAATAACAAGACTAGTTACACACACGAAGAGAATTAGGCGTATAAACATGGTGTCTGACTAACCTACTGGAGTTCTATAATAAAGTAACAACAAGTACGGCAGGACAGAGAACAATGGACAGATTTTATATTTCTGGGCTGTCAAAAAGGCTTTGATACAGTACCTCACAAGAGAGTACAACACTAACTCGAGAGGAAAGCAGTCGCTAGCGGATAAACACTAACATGGGTGAAGACCTAAAGCCTAACAGACAGGAGTCACAGTGAGGGGGAAGAAGTTGGAATGTCGTAGAATAACAAGTGGAGTACCTCAAGGTTTCGTGCTGGGAACCATACTATTTCTGATTTATGTAAACGACCTATCTACAGGAGTCGGGACTTCTATGTCAATGTTAACAAATGCAAAACTAATGAGAAGAGTTGTGACAGATGAGGATTGTAAGATTCTCCAGGACGACTTAAACAAGCTGCAGAGTTGGTCCGAGAAATGGCTACCGGAGCCCAACACCAGGAAGTGTAAGGTGATGGGAATTGGAATAGGCGTCAGGAAACCAAAAGGACAGTACACGATGAAGGGGAAACTACCTCCCTATAACGACTAAAGAAAAAGACATGGGAGTGGATATAATACCAAACTTACCTCCTAAAGGCTCATACAAATAGGACAACAACAGCAGCATACTCTACGAAGGCAAGATTGACCTTCCAGTATGGTAGGAGGCAAGTGACATCCTGGCAGAGATGTCCTGGTCACCAGGATCACTATGAAAATGGTACTCATATAAATATTGTTTCTTGAATGACAAAACAAGAATACATTCAGTTCATCCTTCACAAAGTTAGACACACGAAAGTTGTGTTCGATCACCACTGTAATTATAATTGTTCGGTACTCACTCGTGCTTCGCCTGGAGGAGGAAGATAACAGGGTACTCACACTCGTGCTCCGCCTGGAGGAGGAGGAGGATAACAGGGTACTCACACTCGTGCCTCGCCTGGACGAGGAGGAAGATCTCTCACGGTCCGAGTCAGAAGAATCGGAGCTGGAGGAGGACCTGGTGTGCGGGTGAGTGTTGGGTCTCTTGCTGTACTCCCTCGCTGGCACCACGTCACTCTGTACACATCAGTATATTTGTTTAGTGTTGAGTCTTCACACTTATAATATTTCAGCCCTCAATTTAGGGTACCTTCCCGCCTCACTTTCTACGGTACTTCCAACATATTTCATGAACATTTTGCCAACATGAGGACTTTATACTACCCACGACTGTCTAAAATATTTTCTCTTTAGTTTTGGGGCAAACTTTCTCTTCACTTTCCTTACTATGAGACGTATTCTCCCCTTTTATATTTAATGTTTTAAATTATAGACATATTTTCTTCTATTTGAATGACATCTTCGTTATTACTGTCTCTGACAACTGATGAGTACTTCCTTACTGGCCTTACCTGAAGCGTGGCGAGGCGGCCGCCCGCCTGCAGCACCCCGCCCGTGGTACTCTGTAATGGTCACAACCGGTGTTAGCTGATGACTGTTACTGTGAGGGGCGGTGATGGTGATTGTGACTGTGACGGACGGTGATGGTGACTGAGGGTGGTGGTGGTGACTGAGGGTGGCAGTGACTGTTAGCTACAATGACAGACCATGTGTGACTGAAGAGAACACTGGAACAAAGCGGACAAAGTCAGTGGAGTGGTTAATATTTTCCCCCTGAAGGCAATATCTTGGGTTATGTAGTGTTTATGTGCCCTGTAGTGTTCATATTATGTAGTGTGACGGGCTGTGTGACGACACAGCCCGTCACACTACATGGGCAGCTGTGGACACCTGCAGGACGGGGACGGACTATTATTTAATAACACAACATAAGCAAGCCAAGAATGCACCCCTAGAATCCTAGATGCTACACAAGATAATTCATGGGTGTCTGACAGCAAATGGGCGGCGTTATATATGGTAATTATGGGGAGGGTGAGAGGCAGTTGTTGGTCCAGTGTCTTACTGAAGAGGCGCACTCTCGTAGATAACTCGGCAACTGTAGAGTGTTCACGGTACACAGGGGTGTCCTGGGTACACAGAGGTGTCCTGGGTAAACAGGAGTGTCCTGGGTACACAGAGGTATCCACGGAACACAGGTGTTTCCTCAGTATACAGGGGTGCCCCTAGGTACACAGGTGTATCCTCAGTACACAGGTGTGTCCTACTACTCAGCGCACAACAGTTTTCCTCACCATAATTTTCATTACATTGTATCCACATAACAGTAGGGCTGGCGGCCTGTGTTAAACGTGACACCTTTCCTTACACACTTGCCTCATGTTGTTTAATACGGCTGTAATAAGATTGATTGGTAAAATTTGGATTGGGGTCACTGGCATACAATTGATTCGATACTATTGATTCATGCTGAGTTCTCCAAGGACACGAGCAGCATGTAAATACACCCCCCACCTCAGCACACCTCCACCCCAGCACACCCTCATCCCAGCACACCCCCATCCCAGCACCTCCCGCCCTTTCCACGTGGTCTCTGACTTTCAATTAGCATATAAAGTACAAACAGGTTACTCTACGCCACAATGCAGCCTCTTGGTGGAGAGTATAGAGTACAGCTCGCGCCCCAGCTCCGTTATTCTCTCTTTGTTTCTTCACGTTTAGAAAACATTTTATAAACTTGAATACGCCACTTATAGAGAATTCTTAAACAGAAAATTATTTTTGCAGAGAAGCTGTGAAATGGTATAATTTTTTAACTGAAAATATTTACACAAACAATATTGTCATACAAACTTTTTGCTTTTACTTTTATATTCATTCATAATTAAAAAAAATAGTTCAAATATCTGCTGCATAGGCAGAACTAACACTTATGTGTTTTGCTAGCAGATCATTTATTATGCTAAAGCCTATCAAATATGCTATGAATTTTGTTTATAATTATGAAATATATTGCTGAATACAATCAAACGTTCAATTCTAGTATACAAGTTGTAATTTTCTCCTAATCTCTGGACTCGTTTTATATAAATCACGAACTAAAAATACTGGGCAGAAAAATTTCACTAAACTATTCCGATTAGTATCTGGGTCACATTATATGAGGTTGGCAACCCTTCCTCCTCTGAGAAGATAGTTCTTGCAGTAACTTTTGTGAACGATCGTACAAATATCAACAATATGGACAAATAGAAAGTAGAATGTGGCAATATTTATTTTATAGTCCGGAAAAATTAAGCTAAAAACCAAAATTAAATATTCCTAGGCTTAGAATAGCAAATATGTACTATATTAGGCCTCATATAGTCTGTTTTAGGCCTAGAATGGTTACTACTACTACTAATACTACTAGTAGTAGTCGTAGTTGGTAAATTTAACAATGGGGATTCACATACCGACACGCAGTTAGCTGCGGTCTTCAGCGACCCACGAGCCAAGTAATCCACCGTTAAGAGTTGTATTTGTTTATATTAAGGCCTGTCGGCCGTCTATCACTCCATCAAAGGAGGACGTAATGTATGGGAGGTGTGATCGGGCTGGTTAGATACCGGCGTGGGTTGGAAGACATAGATATACTTCTCTCTCTCCCTCTCTCTCTATCTCTGTCTCTCTGTCTCTCTCTCTCTCTCTCTCTCTCTCTCTCTCTCTCTCTCTCTCTCTCTCTCTCTCTCTCTCTCTCTCTCTCTCTCTCTCTCTCTCTCTCTCTCTCTCTCTCTCTCTCCCCTTTCATTCTCTGCCGTACATATACATTTACATATATAGTAAAGTGAAGGGGAGGGCCCACTGGGAAGCGTGTCAAGGAAAACCCAGCACAAGACGCCGCCAGAGTAGCAGGCGCCGACCCTGTCAACGAGAGGAGCAGTCTTTGCCTGCTCTCTCTCTGTATGGTGTGGGTGCCGGAAGCCACTGAGCGATGGGAGACAAGAAGTTTTCTGAGGCTGCGCGAGCTAACAATGGGGAATTTACATAAGGGAAATTTTTCCTTGAGTAGATTAACAATGGGTAACATTAACATTATAAGAGTTTAACTTGGACTGTAACTTAGTTCAAGGAATAAAATAAATGAAGGGTACAGTGCAAGTGAGTAATTATTAAAAGAAGGCGCTAAGCCGAGGAGACTACGTAGTACCACCAAGGGTGCAGTGCAGAGGCGGAACCCTACTAACACGAGTAGGCAATACATGGAGGAACAGTGACAAAGTAAACTGCACCCTGACCTAAGCCAATACAGTGAACATTGTTTACTTCTTAACACCCAAGGAAATAACATAAGAAGAGGATGAACACAAGCCTTATCAAAGGAACCCAACTAGTAAGTAAGGCATGCAGAAGCAAGCGGAGTAATTATGAGAGAAGAGGTGAATGGGCTCTGGGCGCACGCAAGAGTACCATAGATAAGGGCAACAACCCGACTGTAGTAGTGTATTGCCGGGTGAGGGATCGGGTGGACACCCCCTTTTTCACTACAATAAATACACAAGAGGAAGAAGTGGCAGAGCACCTTGGTGAAATGAGCCATTGGCCTTTGTTTGGATGAGCAGCAAAGTGGCAGCGGCGGTACACACGAATGAGGACGGACGTTGTATCAACATGATCATAAAAATTATAACTAAGAATCAGTGACATGTATATAATAGGTTAGCAAGTCTACAAGGTAACACAACACAAGCAGTCGGTAACACGGAGAGTTGATACCTACCTACCTAATCTGCTGGTGACTTATAACTCATTTTGAAATCTTAATTGCCTTACAATAATTTTGTTATACATTATGTTCCTCAACTGTAATTCCTAGGCTATGCAAGTCATACAGCGAAACATTAAATTTAGGCTATGTACCATTTGATTTGTATAATATGTTTAACTATATGTCACCGTCAAGTTATAAACTATATGTTATTTAATGTCTTTATGTAAACATGAAGGTATGGACTTATTATGCTTCTCAAGACCACCTTATCGTCATCTCTTTTCAAAGTGGATCAGCACAGAAACAAAAATTGGTATAGTTTAATCACGTTTTTGTTGCAAAAAGAATTATCCTGTAAATTTCTCGTTAGTAAGATTATTACATTATAAGTGTTGACTGTAACCTTATTACATTATAGGTACTTACATAGTTTTTAAATTGTACAGGTAATTTTCAAAGTATATCTCTAAATGTTTCTTATAACTTTTAGTTTTGCAAAATTAATATAAAGCTCCGCATTATAACTTAAAACCGTTGTTAAAATTTAAATATATGTTGTATATATTCAGTATATTTAATTATTTTTTCTGGGGCATAGGGAGTTTTTGAAGAGTGTAAGTTGTCTTTTTTATGAGTCAATATATAGTTTTAAGGGCATGTGTAGGTTTTGTTGAGTGTAAGTAGGTGTTGTGGGTTCAAGTAGTTGTTGTAGGGTGTAAGTAGTTGTTATGGGGTGTAAACAGTTGTTGTGGGGTTCAAGTAGTTGTTATGGGGTACAAGTAGTTGTTGGTTGGTTCAAGGCTAAATGGAGGTGCTATTTAGTCTGTATGACTTTGGTTAGTTGTTAATTATACAGGGGCTGGTTGTTCGCTAAGTATGCATGGGTTGTTATTCATTAAACACTCCACGTACCATAGTTATTTGGCATGCATGGGCTGTTATCCATATATACAGTTTGGTTATTAATTTAATAAGCAGGCCTGGTTATTTATATAATATGTTTATATAACATATATAAACAAGGCATATAATATGCCTTGTTTATTCATTTAATTTTGATGGTATGACCATTTACTTGTCCGCAAGAAATTATTTCATTACTTATTTCTTCTTATTTCGTGGTTTGGTTATTCATTCGGTATGAGCGGCCTAGTTTTCATTGGGAATGTATTGCCTGTTATTCATTAAGTTTACTAAATAACCAAGGTTTTTTTTTTAAACAAAATTGCTAGTAACTGCAGTTCAAAGCGGTGACATCAATGCGTTGCGTCACTGATCACTTCAACAATGTCATCCAAACTGGAGATGTAAACTCAACTGGTATACTATATATAATAAAGCATATAAATGAATAGAAACCAATACATGTATGAATATGTATCCCTCAAGTATGGTAAATAGCACTCAATATTTGACTGGTGTAAAAAAATTGTTTTGTTAAGTATGAATTGGCTTCCCGGTAAAGATTTGAACAACATTCGCCTGAACAAGATATAATTTTGTATAACTGACGATAAAAATGGCGTCAGACGGCTGTCATAATTTACTCTCAATAATTGCACATGTGTAGACTTGCGATCTGCCTAATGAAAATGATGCAGATCTTTTAAGGATTTTTTTAAGAAATGTGTCGGTGTTGTCACATTATTATACTATTATAACTATTGTTATTAACTTCAAGGTGTTACAGTCAATATTATGTTGTAATTTTGGCAGCCTCAATTTATGATTATGAGTCTAAGTCTGTGAATTTCAACAATATACTGACAACCAAGGTAAGGTTAAGGTAACCAGTCAGTAGGCCTACCGTATTTATAACTATTGCTACATAACTGCCTTAAATTTATGATAACTTCTTTGTCAACGGTGTAGCACCATTTGCAATAAAAATTGTTATATGATATAGCAACTGTTTAACTGTCAGCAATCATCATAAGGCATAAAGCTCGATTAATATACATATATATTAGTGTACATATACATATGTATATATATTAATATACATATATATGTATGCGCCCACACTGCATTTATAACCAAAAACAAGCCCATTATAATATCAAAACTCAAAATGTCTCCAGTGGCTTTGTACCTTAGTGAAAATAGTGGGGAGAGCGGCCAGAGGAAAAGCCAGCCTACATATGGCTTGGCGGGTCCTGAAGGCGGAGACTACACCTCGCGACACAGACATGACTACACCCCAGCACAGTCAGGCGCTACACTGACGCTACACAGGACTCACACTGGTGAATAGCCATGCCTCCGCCGCCGCCCTCTTTATCTAGGACACCCTCGTGGAAATCGTAGGCTCACAGGCTCAAGCTCGGGCATTATTGTCGTTATCTGCGGCTCGCTTGTAAGGAAGTTGTAGAGACTTTGTGGTGGAAGCGACAGGAGTGGTATATTACTAGTGGTTGGTATATATTAATGTAAGATTATGTTAGGTATAGGAGGCGCACTAGTGTTCCTGTTGCTGGGGGTCGCCACACACCCATTTGGTCCAGAAAATTGCATATATATTTACAATTCCTATTTAGTATTTTATTTTAATAACACAATAAAACTACACGAGAACTCTGCAAACAATTATACATGATCAGCAATATATGAATATTATAAAACATGACGGCTTCTTAGAATATATATAGCTGATATATTGACCCTGCGGTGTGTATATAATTCAGTGTAGATATATTGTTGATTCAACAGGTATTCGTTAATAGCCATTAATTGGCAACATAAAATTACCAGTGGTGGAGGTTGGACTCTTGCGGTGAAGCTACTGCACTTAGCGACAGGCGGTGGACGTGGCTAGCCTATGTTGCATCCCCCTCCCACACCCCCATTCAACTCCCCCCATCAACACCACCCACCTCAAGCCCTCCAAACCAGCCCCTACCCCCTTCACCACGCTCCTTCACCACTGAATATTCGCCAGTACCAATACATACCTTAAAGAAAACTAATATGCAAAACTACAAAAGTTTCCTAGGCGAAATACTGACCAAAAACTCCCTTCTCCTCATAATAATAATAATTAATAAAAATAATAATAAACTTACCCTAAAACAGACCAAACGTGTATATATAAGCATCTGAGTGTGAATGCATCTTCCCGAAACGCTATACATGCTGGTGGCTTTGCATGCAACCCGTCCTCTTAAAATAACGTCGCTTTTCGCAGGTATGCGCGCTATGGCCAAAAATGGACGTAATTTGAAATGAAATCGGCTCACGAAAGTGACGTACTTTCCCGTTTTTCTGTTTTAGTCCTCCGGCTTACTCGGAAAGGTTAGGAGAGGAAACTTTCAATTAACGACTTTCATGATGTTTTGAAACCCTTGGAGAACTTCTTTCCCTCCTAACCTTCTAGAGGACCCTTGACTTGCTGTTTTGGAAAAAAAATCCAAAATTTATTTTCAATTATTTTTCATTTTCAAATTACGTTCATTTTTGGCCATACAGGCAAACGGCCGAATTCAGACGTAATTCATAAGAGGACAGGTCACAACACACATATCTTATGTAATTTTAGCAACCCATTGTATCTTCTTGCAAGTAAATTATTATTATTATTTTATTATTATTATCAATATTTATTATTATGTATATGTGAATGTTACATGTATAGTATTCACGTATACACATCTATACATACTGAAATACATGTGAGGAACCTTACACTCGCAATTCTCTGACAAGAGAGAGCAAGCCTAGCTTAGCTAAAACACACATACACGTATTAGCAAGGCGGACAATCTGCCTGCTGTCAGAACTCATGCTATGTTATCATTTATCCTCATAGCTTCCTACCTTGTGCTTTAAACTCACACTGTATCTTGTACTACCCACTTCCCCAATATTAGTAATTAAGGATCCGTCGGTAAATCAGGATGATTTCCCGGTTGCAATTCTTTTAACCGTGTCGTAGCTCAGTTGATTAAGGCAGCGTCTGAGATCCTCTCGGACGTAGGTTCGATCCCTCGTCACGGCTCTTGTGAATTTGTTCATTTGATGGAACTAAATCTCGCAACCCTAGAGGAAAGAAGGAACAGAAGTGATATGTCACAACATACAAGATACTGAGATGAATAGATAAGATGGACAAGGTAGGCTTCTTCAAACTAAAAGTAGTACAAAAGAAAACAGGTCGGATTTGGAAAGGAAAATGAACCAAAAGAATGTAAGAAAATATTCGTACCGTTTACAGGTTTTCAACAAGTGGAATACACTGAAAAAGTAAGTTATGTAAGCCACTCCATCCACAACTTTAAGATCAGCTTCAACAAAGAATTTAAACATAAAATTAGTTCAATTGTAACACAACAGATACAACAAGGCCAGTAAGCCGGGCATCATGCGCTTGATGTTCGGGGTCTTGAAGTGGGTAGAATATAGCTGTGCATTAATTGGCTGTTGATTGCTGGTGTTGACTTTTTTCTCTGGTGATGGTCTGGTTGTGAGAAGAGATTATATGTTCCTTGATGGAGCCCTGTTGTTTATACATTGTTAATCGCCTGGAAAGAGACGTTGTTGTCTAGCCTATATACTGAGTTCCTTGGGGCTTACAGTCCCCAAGTGGGCATTTAAAGGCATAGACGACGTTGGTTTCCTTCAAGGCGTTCTGCTTGGTGTCTGGGGAGTTTTTCATGAGTAGATTGGCCGTTTTTTTGTTTTATAGTAAATTTGTCAATTGTATTTTCTGATTTTTGTCTGTAGGGATAACGTTCCTATCAACAATATCTTTCAGGACCCTTTCCTCCGTTTTATGAGCCGTCGAAAAGTTCCTGTAAAGTAACCTAATAGGGGGTACAAGTGTTGTGTTGGTTGACTCTTCAGAGGTTGCATGGCATTTCACCTTTCTTTTTATGATATCTTCAACAAAACCGTTAGAGAAGCCGTTGTTGACTAGGACCTGCCTTACCTATAGAGTTCTTCATCGACTTGCTTCCATCCTGAGCTGTGGCTGGGAGCATGGTCGCCGTAAGCGTTGACAACACTCCTCTTGTACTTATCTGGGCAGTCACTATTGGCATTGAGGCACCTTCCTATGTTTGTTTCCTTAGTGTAGACTGCAGTGTGGAAGCCTCCGCTCCTTTCCGTGACTGTTATATCCAGAAAGGGCAGCTTCCCATTATTCTCCATCTCGTAAGTGAAACTCAACATAGAATTACAAATGCATAAATGCCTCCTTCAGCTTCTGCAGACATCTGGCATCAGGTACCTGCGTAAAAATGTCAACATACCTGCAGTATATGACGGGTTTGCAGTCCATGTCAACTAAGACCCTCTGTTCGATATAGAAGTTCGCAAACAGGACACCTATGGGAGAACCCATGGCGACCCCATCAACTTGCTTATACATGTGCCCATCTGGGCTCAAGAAGGGTGCCTCTTAAGTGCAGGCTTGAAACCCGCCATATACTGCAGGTATGTTGACGACATTTTTACGCAGGTACCTGATGCCAGATGTTTGTCTGTTAGGGATTTAAACAGAGGGGCTGTGTGTTGTCTGAAGATAGAGTTTGTTATAGTTCAGATAGCAGATTTTTGCTGAGTGATAATAGGCATCCATCAGTCTCAGGAGACTATTTAAGTTGCGCTCTGGTAGTCGGTCTGGAGTGGCCTCTCCGGGCGCAAAGCACACACACACTACATTATGTATAAAAGCTATTTTTCTTATATTTTTTACTTTTGTTTGTGGAAAGAGTAACAATTTAGAATGATACCAGCACTTTTTAAACTGTACTCAATAGTGTACCTCATAAGCCTCAATCCAATAAAGTCCAGAATCTTGACATTTGGTAAGAGTTCAAAGCCCAATAGGCTTGAGGTAATTTGCAGGGGTTGAACCCCATGCACAGATACCGTAGAACATAAGAACATAAGAAGGACATTTGAGACTTTTTTGACTATGAGTTGCATGTGGGTGATAATGTTCAGTCTCCTGTCTATGTATAGGCCTAGGGACTATATATATATCCCTCATTTATAGTAGTTCAAGTTCAAGTTCAAGTCTTCTCTTTCTCCTGCTCGAAAGTGTTTATAGTAGTAATGTTTAACATTGTCTATAAGGTTGAATCTGATTTGATGATTTATTACCAAATAAAATGTAGTAGGTTTTTTCTATGTTAGTTTAGTTCATTTATTATGCACCCCATACCCACCTTGTGGGCGGTAATGGAAAGGGTTACAGAGGCACATAATGGGCTCAGGGACTGAACTCCACAATTCATTTAGCTAAGCAAGTTACAATCTTGATGAACTAGTTACAAAATTCAGTATAAGTCGTCACATCGTCAATGGGTTCGAGATCGACCACAAGTTCAGTTTCAAATTAAGCAACTGACCCATATGGAAAGATAGTGTCACAATTGATATGTTTGGTATACTCTCTATATTGGTATACTCTCCAAAATCAGATATTATGTACCTAACTCATCTCTATATTATGCACTAGTCTATCCCTATCTTAATTATGGTATCTGTGCATGGGGTTCAACCACTGCAAACCACCTCAATTTACCCAGCAAAAATCTGCTATCAGAATAATAACAAATTCTGCTTTCAGACAACACTCAGCCCCCTTGTTTAACTCCCTAAACATGCTAAACATAATATCACTCCACAAATTCTCTTGTGTCAATTGCATTTACAAAACCCTGTTTTCAATGCAAATCCTGCTCTGAAACTCTCCCTGGACAGATGTAATAGGACCCATTATCACCACACCAGAAATAAATATCTCTTTGATATCCCCAGAGTCAAACTTAATCTGTCTAAACACTCTATGCAAATTAAGGGACCCAGTCTATGGAACTCACTCCCTAATGAATTGAAAAGCTGTCCAACTTTTGCGTCATTCAAAAACAAAACTAAAAAGTACCTAATTTCATCTTCATAGTTTTTTACCTTGTTTTAAAATTGCACTGTATCTATTGTTACCCAATCTTTATGTTCCCAATCTGAACATCTTTACCAATGTGATCATTGCTGTCTTCTTATATGTGTTATCAATCTGCTGTATGGTGCCTATTAATCTTGTTTAAATTACCAATCAAGCTGTTAATGTAATCAATCAGAGCTTTAATATACCAATGTGCTGTAATATACTTATTTATCTCTCACATCTCATTTTTTTTCTTGCATTGTATCAGTTATCATTTTATTAAATCTGCTAGAATTTACCTACTTAAAATTATCTGTTAGATTAAGGACCTGCTGCGCGTACTAGTGGCTTTACAAGATTGTAAATACTATGCTATGTATTCTCACAAACCCAATGTACCTTCTTGTATATAAATAAATAAATAAATAAATAAATAAATAAATAAAAAGTTTGTCCTGCACACCGCCCCCCCCCCCCATCCAGTGGGCAGCGGTGGATAGGTTACAATCACTTAGTTACTACCTACAGTTAGCAAACTGGGGATATTTGGCTAAAATTTCTGGTAGCAGGTCATTTTGAGTGAAATATTGACACACCGCTGGAACATTGGTTATAGAATTGTTTCTGAATTCACGTATCTTTTCGCACTCCATCACATAGTGATGGAGTGTGTGCGAATAATTTTGTTGACACAGTTCACATTTGATCTGGTCTATATATTTTTTTTTTTTTTTTTTTTTTTGTAGCAGCAGATAATGAGAATTCCCAGAGATACTTGTAACCGAGACTAAGCCGAGCAGTAGTAACATCTAGAAGTCTGCTTTGATTTTATGAACCATGGATGTGTGGCTCCTCTTGCATGATAGTATGATGATAGATAGAATTACTGGTGTCGATTTCACTTTGCCTCAGATCTACAAGACTTTGTTGAAGTTCTTGGTGTACTATTGCTGTCAGATTGCTCATTGACAATCAAAGGTTACACTCAACGTCTCCTCTAAAGCAAGATTCTTTTACTAACTCGCCAGCTCTATCATGCATTCGGAGGCCAACATGAGATGGAGACCACATGAAATGGACTGTTACCATCATTAATAATTTTGTTGTATTTGTGTCTAGCTTCGGACACGAGCATGTTACAGTTATGTCTTAAGGAGATGAGAGCATTTAAGGATGATAAAGAGTTGCTTACAATTAATGTATCAAGTTTGGAGACTTGTACACATTTCAGTGCAAGGAGCAAGGCAAAAAGTTCGGTCTGAAGGGTAGATGCCATTCAAAATATAAGCCTTTTTCTATGTTTAGTGTAAGTTTGTTGATTGGCATCCATGAGTGGACTTTTTTTAAATTCATTGTTGACAATGTTATTTAGTGTGTGGGGGTTAGGGTCAAATTAGATGACGGTAGTATTGTCAACAAATAGTATAGGTTTAACAAATAGTATAGATTTAAGAATGTTATAAACATTTGACATATCATTAATTTATTTAAGAAATAGGAGAGGTTCCATGATGTTGCCCTGTGGCACCCCTACTGTCAATGGTAGAGTGGGAGAGGTTATGCAATTGATGGCTACATATTGGTGTCAGTCACTCAGAGAGGAACAAATATAGTTCAGAGCAATGCCTCGAATAGCATAATGGTGAAGTTTAAGTAAGAGGTACTTATGGTTTACAATATCAAAGGCCTTTCTCAGGTCAATGAAGAGTAAATTCACGTAAATATGTGTACACTCTGTGATCTAAAACAATGTAATAAAATACATTAAATAAATAAATTCCATTGCACGAAATATTTAAAAAGTAGGGGTAGTAGAGGGAAATACTAATGAGGTATTCAAGGAAAATTTGCAAGGTCTCTTAATAATACCTTAAGGTTACCTTGAGGTAACCTCAAGGGGCTTAAGGGGATTACTTTCCGGGGCTTAGCGTCCCCGCGGCCCGGTCGTCGACCAGGCCTCCTGGTTGCCGGACTGATCAACCAGGCTGTTGGACGCGGCTGTTCGCAGCTTGACGTATGAGTCACAGCCTGGTTGATCAGGTATCCTTTGGAGGTGCTTATCCAGTTCTCTCTTGAACACTGTGAGGGGTCGGCCAGTTATGCCCCTAATGTGTAGTGGAAGCGTGAAGTCTCGGGCCTCTGATGTTGATAGAGTTCTCTCTCAGAGTACCTGTTGCTCCTCTGCTTTTCAATGGGGATATTCTGCACATCCTGCCATGCCTTCTGGTCTCACGTGATGTTATTTCTGTGTGCAGGTTTGGGAGCAGCTCCTCTAATATTTTCCACGTGTAAATTATTATGTACCTCTCGCGCCTGTACAATAATACTGTAGCTTTTATTCTCTTCTCCGAGGCTATGGATCCACACAATTGCGCCAGAGGTGGAAGCCATAATATGAAAATATAAATAATATTTATTGATAATATTGTCAGGTTTGGTGACATATATCGTTGGTTTCATGGTGGAGTGGAACCAATTCTCGTCCTTCCGGTCAGCAGCACACTGGCCACAGCACACAGGGTATCTTGTCCTATATTTAATTGATTGATTGATTGAGTGGAAGCCAAGAGGAGGAGGAATAAGGTGGTCCACCGGAGGCGGTGTTCCCACTATAGTGATGTATGGTGGCCGGCCGGCCAGTGTGCTGGTGGCCGGAAGGACCAGAATTGCCTGAATCACTCCAGTTACTGCCACTTGTTTCCTCGGGGCGACACCCTGCTGACCCTCCCGGCCCACCCTCGGCCCACCCTCGGCCCACCCTCGGCCCACCACACACACTACCGGCCTCAGTGGAGCGTGTACTGGTAAAGTGTGAGTATATAATGAGTGTTGTAAGGGAGGAGAGTGAGGGAGCAGTGTCCCAGGCAGTGCGGACGTCACCACCCTCCACACAACACCTCCAGTGAGTCACCCTTGTTGCTCCTCCTGCTCCTGCTGCCTCTCACGTGTTGCTTCAAGTCTTGGTGACGGCATTACTGCCTCCTAGGTATTGCTGCCACCCCAGGTGTTGCTGCTTACACCTAGGTCTTGCCTCCCACCCTTCACAGGTGTTGCTTCCCTTGTTAACGGTTTTACTAGCTAGCTCTTAGGTGTTGGCTCCTCCAGATGTTGCTATTAGTATCCAGGTGTTGTCTACTGGGTGTTACTGCTAGCACACAGGTTTTGCTACTAGCACTCAGGTGTTGTCTCCAGGGTGTTGCTACTAGCATCTAGGTAGCAGCAACACCTGGGTGCTAGCAACAGCACCCAGGAGACATCATTGTTGCTGCTAGCACCCAGGTAATTACCTAAGTGTAGTTACAGGATGAGAGCTACGCTCATGGTGTCCCGTCTTACCAAACTCTGTCATATAATGCTTTGAAATTGCTGACGGTCTTGGCCTCCACCACCTCGCCTAACTTGTTCCAACCGTCTACCACTCTGTTTATGAAAGTGAATTTTCATATATTTCTTCGGCAATTTTGTTTAGTTAGTTTAAATCTTAGTTTAAACCTCTTGTTCTTGAAGTTCCGGGTCTCGGGAATTCTTCCCTATCAATTTTATCGATTCCTGTTAGTATCTTGTACGTAGTGATCGTGTCGTCTCTTTCTTCTAGCTTCGGCATATTTAATGCCTCTAACCTCTCCTTGTAGCTCTTGTCCTTCAGTTCTGGGAGCCACTAGTGGCATGTCTTTGCACCTTTTCCAGTTTATTGATGTGCTTCTTAAGATATGGGCACCATACAACCGCTGCATATTCTAGCTTTGGTCTAACAAAAGTCGTGAACAATTTCTTTAGTATTTCATCATCCATGTATTTAAAAGCAATTCTGAAGTTAGAAAGTGTGGCATAGGCTTCTCGTACAATGTTCTTTATGTGGTCCTCGGGTGATAGTTGTTTTTATCTAGAACCACCCCTAGATCTCCTTCGTTATCAGAATTCTTTAAAGATTTCTCACATAATTTATAGGTTGTGTGGGGTCTATGTTCTATTCCACATTCCATAACATGACATTTATTCACATTAAATTTCATTTGTCAAGTGGTGCTCCATATACTTATTTTGTCCAGGTCTTCTTGAAGGGTATGGCAATCATCTAAGTTTCCAATTTTTCCTATTATCTTAGCATCATCAGGAAACATATTCATATAATTCTGTGTTCCATCTGGCAGATCGTTTATGTAGACAATGAACATTACCGGTGTAAGAACTGAACCCCGTGGTACTCCACTTGTGACATTTCTTCAGTCCGATACATTGCCTCTGATTACTGCCCTCATTTTTCTATCGGTTAAAAAGAATTCATCCATGTTAGCAGCTTACCTGTCATCCTCCAATATGTTCCAGTTCCAGAACAACCTTTTATGTGGAACTCTTGAAAACCTTTTTTAGGTTCAGATAGATGTATTGAGGTGCACCCAGGTGTTGCCTCCTGGGTGTTTCTGTTAGCACCCAGGTGTTGCCTCCTGGGTGTTGCTGTTAGCACCCAGGTGTTGCTGTTAGCACCCAGGTGTTGCTGTTAGCACCCAGGTGTTGCTGTTAGCACCCAGGTGTTGCTGTTAGCACCCAGGTGTTGCTGTTAGCACCCAGGTGTTGCTGTTAGCACCCAGGTGTTGCTGCTAGCACTCAGCAGCACTCGGCTGTTGCTGAGTGCTAGCAAATTCTTACCTTACATATGACTTAATAATGGCAAATTTGTGATTTCCCAATTTAACAAATACTATACTGTAAATTGCTGGCAGGTGGTGGTTCCAGCATTGACGAATCAAGCAGGTGGCTGCCATTTAACCCTAGATGTATGCTCTGGTCTACGGATCTCCTGAACAGCTAAGCTGTTTTAATGTTTACTAACAGTTTAAATAATCAAGTGTTTTCAACAAATAAATAAATTTAATTATCAAATCAAATAGAAGTTAAATTAAAGCACTAGATCTGAATTTAATTCATATAAAAATAATTTGCCCTAAATGTGGGAATTGTGTCGAACACAATGAATACAGTCCACTTGCTTTTAAAGAATTAAACAATGAATTTATCCACATAACCCCATAGTAATGTAAGAATTGGTGTAGTATTGATGTATGCTAATTAGCAGCCCATCCTCATCAACATAGGCAAATGCTCATTAATCTAGCCGACAAAATTCTGAATGAAAAGGGGTTTACAAAAGACTTTCAATTGATGTTGGAACATTTCTTGAAAAGTCCTCCACTGATTAGTTTTGTTCACATTGCAACTTTGTAAATGCTTTACCCATACATTACAAATAATTGTCAACAAAACTTAAACACCTAACCTAACATATGTATAATATGGTAATGTATAATAAATCAGTATTACTTTATACAGTGGAAGCTCTGTCTACGAATTTAAACCGTTCCTAGAGAGGGATTGTACACCGAAACTAATTTTCCCATAAGAAAAATGTACCGTATTTGCTGGTGTATAAGTTTTTTTTTTTTTACATTTTAAAATGTACTGTATCAAAAAATTGCCCTGTGTCTAATACGGTTGTATTACAGATGTGAGATCAAGCTCCATAGGCTAGCGAGCTGGACAAATATACTGGGTAAGTTCGCTAGGTACAAAAATCGTTGCTAATACTGTAATCAGATATTGAAAACAAGTCAAGTTATTACAGTAAATAGTGTTACTAATAATAAAATATTGAAAATGGGCAAAGTTATTAGTCTATTATAACAAACTTACGAAAAGTTGCTTACGATACGTCGGCAGTTATGAAGGAAGCTCACATCTCATAACATTACCCAGCATACATAACCCACACCTGATACGTCATACATTATTTAACAACTGGGTTACCTTTAAGACACACTTGTTCACTATCTAAATGTAAAATACTCCTAGAAATTTGAAAGGAATAAATTTTCATATGCCTGTCAGCCATTTGCAATGAGTGAATGACACCATAACCAGAGCGCCGTGATGGTGCACCACTACTGGGTGTACCACCCTGGTGGTCTGATGCAGCAACACAAAATATCACATCCAGAAATACAAGTTTCACATCATGTATGGCAATTCTCTTGCCCAAAATATAAACTACTCAGCTTTTGATCTTACCTGATCAAAAAGTCTTAAAAAAAAAGAATAAAAAAAAGGATAAAAAAAATCTTTGATCTTAGCTTTTACTTTAAGCTGATCTTAGAGGAGGTAAGTGTTGGGTTACAAAATGCACTTTAAAGTATCTTTAAATAAATGTATGATGAAACATACTAATATAGTTTTTTCCACAAAATATCCTTGTAAAATATGGGGTGCATCCTATGTGAGGGTGCATTTTTTACTATTGCAAATACGCTAAATTGAATTGATCCGTTCCATACCCAAAAATATTAACTAAAAAATAAATTTTATGCAGAATACTACTGATATTGAGCATGCCTTGCCCTGTGCCCAGCAGAACCCATGCATATGACGAACAAAAGTACTGTATCAACAAACATGTCGTATTCAGAGGCAAACTACGTACACGAGTAAAATTTTACAATAACATTAACTTCATACACAAAACAATTTGTACTCTGGGGCATTTGTAGACAGAGGTTCCACTATACTGTATTGGAAAATTCCTATTTTAAATACACAGTAAAATAGATAAGAGCGTTTTTGGGGTTGACTACCAGATGGGCAAGCATTGCCTGAGGATGTGTTGCTAATTAGGGATGCTCTCTTAGACCCACAATGAACTTTGGAGCTTGTAAGGCCCAATGAGAGTCCTGAGTGGGGGGGTGGGGGGGAGCAGCAGGAGGGAGGTGTTTTGTTTGACTAGTATTTCTAGTTTTGTTATATGACAATTAACTATTTCAGAATGTCTGGGAAGGTGAAGCAGCGCAGTGCAGCCAATACTGCCGAGGCAGCTACGGTTACGGTGAATGAGAAGATTCTGAAGGAGTGCCATGACCTCTACACTGATCCTGATAATGGTATAGTACTTGGAAATGAAGTGCAATTAAATATTTATTATTTATTTATATATACAAAATAAAACAGTATAGGTTATCAATACAGATTTTGGTGATTAATTGGTATTCCTGCAAAGCCACTAACACTTCCATGATCATCTTCCATGATCCTGATGCTTTACTTTCCCCATTAGGGGGATGGTCACAGTAGAAGTTTCTCCAGGAGGTTCTTATCACCACACAAACCTTTCACTCTGACCCCTCATTCACCTCCCTATTATACGGTACTGTATTAAACTCTTCCTTTCTTTTTTTAAATTCTTCCTTTCCACAAAACTTGACATTTGCCTCTACCATATAATCCATTTATTTTTCACCCTTGTTTTTGCTAAGTGAGTCTGAGGCATTCTACAAATGTGTCCATTTCACTTAAATATACAGTGGAACCTTGGTTCTCGTATGCCCCTGTTCTCGTATTTTTCGGTACTCGTACTCAATTTTTCAGAAAAATTTGATTCGGTACTCGTTGTTTGCCTCGGTTTTCGGAATTTGTTCATACACGTACGGGTCCACCGCAAGCATGGTGCTTCAGTTTACCAGTGTCTCTCACCTAGTGATGATTGGGCTTGAATTCTTTATGAAGAATTTCATTGTTTTTTTGTTTTTTTGGTTTCTGAACATAAAAGTTCTTATTATATATCACACCATGGGTTCCAAGAACATCAGTGGTAATGTTCAACCTAAGAAAATAGTTGTGAGGATGACGAGAAAGGAAAAACAAGAGATCATTCACAGTGAGACAATGTGATGTCTCACTACAGACACGTTTTAAAACATAGGGAAAAACAAGTCTGTTGACAGATTCTTAGTAAGACGAGCAAGCAGTGAGCCACAAGCAGGTCCTAGTGGTATGCCTGCAAAACGTAAGAGAGTACCCCAGAAATGTCATCACTGCTGTAAAAATTGAGTGGGACTTCCCTTCCAAACACTAACACCTCTCCTCTTTCCCCCTTCCTCACTCTTTTCCATACGCCAACAAGAGTTCTCAATAAAGGTAAGGTACCTAAGAGTATTATTCTGTATAAAATGTATTTTTTTTTTTAATATATTTGGGGGTGTGGAACGGATTAATTCAATTTACATTATATCTTATGTTGAAATTCGTTTCGGTTTTCGTATTTTTCAGTTTTCGTACCATCTTTGGGAACGGATTAACAACGAAAAATGTGGTACCCCTTGTATTATGCTTCACCCACTGCACAACTTCACATTTCATTCACCTTATCCCCTTCACTATTACCACATCTCTCATATACTTTCTCATTGCTCTACCCATCCCACATACTTAACACTTTCGCTCACCCCGCGCGCCACCCCTCGACAGGGCGATATGGGCCCCAGCGTGTCACGGAAGCGCGCGTTAATTCCGAAAAGTGTATACTCTCTTCAACTTTGTCACCTCAATTCTCCTTCTACGAGAATAAATTTGGTATCATTGTGTTCGCAATAAAATTCTCTACAGCACTAAATGCATATAAACTCCAAAAGCCCGGCTAATTACCCGCAGCAAACAGAGAAAGTGCGAACGAGTTACCCGGGAGCACGCAAACGGGATAAAATGTTTTCACTATTTTCACTCTGGTCACCTCAATTTTTGTCCTAGGTCTTTCATTTTGGTCTCAATGGGTTCGTAATAAAATTCTCTAGAGGAACATTAGCATATAAAAAAAAACACCTGGTCACGCTCCAACCGCCGACGAGTTGAAGACGGGCCACGTGTTAGCCGTGAGTGAGCGCTCAGAGGCCTTCCTACTACACTCCCAATTCCCACCCTTTTCAAGCCTTTCTTTCGCAATTTTCTTCCTGGAAGGGCCTTGTTCATGATTACTATCCATCGTGGAGTAAGCGTAGATAGTTTCTAAAGCCGCAGTAAGAAATATAGCCACGGAAAATAGCCGAAATGTTCACACGTTTGAGATGCGAGGGGAGACGACATTGGTCACAACAGTGGAGCAAAGACAATGGGCCAACGGCGTGTGCCAAGCCGCCTGAGGGCCACGAGGCTCAACAAAGGAAATGGGAAGACATCGGCGCACATTTTAAAACCAGTCCCCAAAAAATCGGATACAAACCTGATTTTTGGCGAATTTTTAAAGTGGATGACGCAATGCTGCGTCATCCCCGGCATTACCGCCAGTAAACGGATGACGCAATGCTGCGTCATCCCCGAGCGAAAGTGTTAACCCAGCTGTGTTTTCATGAAATTAATTTCCTCCGCTTTTAATTTTCAATGCTTAGACGTGAGTAACTATGATTATCAGTACAGACACAAACAAAAACTAACCAAAGTGATGGCTCATTCCTCTGACATGACAGATAGCAAACAAGCAACACCTTCAATAAAGCCAATACAAATAAAGTCAGAACTAGAAATGTCATCACAGCTTGTGTGAATGATATACCCTGTTAAAGTTATGACAAGGTATTCATAGGTGAAACATCCCAAAACGCATATTCATAAATTCTCATATCTAAGTACTGTACTGTACTTATTGTAAACCTAACATGTGGATAACACCAACAATGCTTGTCACACAGGAACCAGGAGCAACACCACATAAACTCTGGGGATGTTAAACTTCCATCAAAGAATAAATTAACAGTAGGAGACAGTGTATAGAGTCTGCAGCTACAACATTACAACACCTTCCAACAGAATGAAGAAAAAAAATCTATTATTTCTCTCTGCTGAGAGAGAGTTCTTCATAAATATGAAGGATTATGTATTACTATTTATATGTGTTGCCTTCAGCTTACTGATCTTGACCCACCTTGACCATGCCCTGTTTTGTTTTTCAGTTGTAGTAATAAAACCAAAAACACATGTCGGTAAATGACAAAACAGTAAAAACTTGCAGATGAGGAGTCACAATAACGTGGCTGAAATATGTTGACCTAACCAAATATGTTGTCCCAAAGTGAAGGGACGACGACATTTCGATCCGTCCTGGACCACAGTCGACTTGAGAATGGTCCATTCTCCATTTTACTGTTCAGGTAGCACTTATAGCAACAATAAGGACCATTGTACATACTGTACTGTATATTGACATAAAGAGCAATTAGAAAGTAGAAATTGGTACTATTGAATTTGGACAAACCAGATAAGCTTTTATGCTGATATTGGAAAGAAAACTTAAGCTTGCTAGGTTTAATACACGCTAACCGAGGCATAATATACTACGTATATGTGCTATACTAGGCTTAGGAATATTTGTTTGGTTTTTAGATTTTGTTTCTGTCAGAACCCCCTACAGTTCCCCGAAGCTTGCCGGGCTGATATATATGTATTAGACTGTGGCATCAGTCAATTGGAGTTCTTACCTACAGGAGACCACGAACCAGAACCTGGCCTCCTCAGAGAGGTACGAGGAACAATGGCCTATGGAAACCCCCCTGTATTTGGAAGCATTCCATGTCTACCATCGACTGGGGTTTGACATCCAGAAAGGTAGGGACAACAAAACAAATCCCACATGGTAAAACAAAATTAGTTGCTACCAAAGGCTGAACAGAGAAACAAACTCCCCAAATTTTTAAACAAGCAAGCATCACACCACTCACCGTCGCTCCAATCATCTGTGCAGCCTCCAGCAACCCTCCTCCACTCCGGTTGCTCCACCATTCAGTTCTCGGGTGATGTCTGACTGTAGCGGTCATTGACTGACCTGGTCGACAACCAGGCCGCAGGGATGCTAAGCCCTGGAAAAACTCCAAGGTAACTCCAAGGTAGCCTCTGATTCAATGCAGTTTTGTGCCTTGTGTATTTCTGCAGTGCAGTGTGCAGACCAGGAGTAATTAATCAGTATTGGGAGCGTTAGGGCCACCTTCCCTATGTGCCCTGTAAGTACTGCCTTGCGTTCTAGGGTTACCTTCCACAGGGCATTCGGGAACAGTTTCTGTAGGGGTCTTTCGCTGCTTGGAAATAGCCTGCCCTTGGGGCCAGCTGGGGTGTTCGTAGCTACTGTTTGGCCATGGGTAGATTGTGGTGTCTTTGCCGGTAGGGGCTTAGGGTACGGTGCAGCTTGTCTCTCATTATACACAGGGGCTGGTTCTGTTCCTTCTGGGAATGTGCTTTTTTTTTTTTACACCTGGTGGGAGTCTGCCCTCTTGGTTAAGGTCCACCTTCTGTTGTCAGTGTTTCTCCGCTAGGCTCCCGTCTTTGCATACGTTGCAGGGGTTCAGTTTTTAGCAGTTCTCTTGGTAGTTTGGGCCTAACTGGTTAGCAGTACCTTGCCTGGGTTTCCCTTAGCAGTCAGCCTAAGGGTCCTGGAAAACCCCATTGGGGCTCATTGGACCAATGGACGCATCCTCTGGGTTCCAACTCGCGAAGTGAGGGGTTTGAAGGTTGCTCTGTCCCCTTATCTCAGTGTGACACTCGCCTGTTTTGCCTCAGTCATGCTGCCCATTGGGTCAGTGACACCTTTGACTCTTGAGTCTTGCGAGTCATGTTTCTAGCTCGTACTCCTTGGGTTTGTGTCGCTCACGGATCAACGATCCATCTCCATTTGGACTGCTCCCCAGGGGTTCATTGTCTGATCCGCGGGGGTTGGATGCGGTCCTTGGCTCTTTGGGGCTGGTTGCTTTGGGTGAATTGTCTGCTGAGTTCTCGGGGTTTGATTCTCCTGGCGGTTCATATCTAGGGGGGGTTGTCCATTGTCCCAGCAGATGGCCCGTCTCAATTTCTTCCTGTCCATGGAATAAATGGTCAACGCCGACTCATTCTGTTGCTCTGCCGGACGTTTTGGCGCCCAGAGATGGACCTTCTCGTCGGCCTGGTATGTGCCGCTCTTCCCTGACTGGCTGTCGGGGTCGATGCCTTTTGGCTGGACTGGTCGAGGTGGGATTACCTTTTCCTCTTCCACCCCACCCCCTGGTTTGGTTGTTGCTCCAGGTCCTGGCTCGCTTGAAGTTATGCCAGGGAAGAGTAGTCCTGTTGGCCCCTTGGTGGTTGGCCCAGCCTTGGTTTCAGGCGCTGCATGCTCAGTGTCCAAACCCGAGGGTCTTCCCACGGCTCTGCCTCTTTCAGCAGATTGGTCCAGTCTGGTACCCTGTACATTGTTCGATCTTCTCCTCCGCCTTTCACGTCTGGTCTTTTTGATGTGGGTTTATCACCACTTGTATGGTGATCAGGTAGCTTCATTGATGGTGTCCCACCTGCGGGGGTTTCGTCTCGGCGGCAGTATGAAGTTTCCTGGCAGTCCTTTTGCACTTTTCTTCTCTTCGTAGTTTGTCTTCAATGTCTGATCAGGATTTTTTGTCCTTTCTCTTGGTTGTTTCAGGACTGTCATCTTATGCCAAATACTGTCGCCACGTATTGTGCAGTGCTGGTGGAGCTGCTTCAGCTTGTGTTCAGGGTGGATGTTACTTCTGCTCCGTTCTGCAAGCTTTCTCAGACGTTGTTTCACATGCGGCCTGCTCATGTGCTGCCTGAGCCTTCCTGGTCATTGGACTGGGTACTTTTTCTCTTTCTTCTCCTCCTCGGTTTGTAGTGGCTCCTTCGGTTCAGGATTGATAAACTTGATTTCAAGAGATTATGGGGAACTTAGAAAATTCTTTAATTAGTTTAGTTGGGCAGACTTGTTGCTAGGCAAGGAAGTGAATGAGGTGTATGCCAAATTTTACAAAATATACAGTGAAGGGACACGAACATTTATACCTTTCAAAGGCACACAAACATTCAAACAAGGACAGATTCAAGCTTAGGAAACAAAAGAAAAGTGCCAAAAAAATATTAGAAAATTTCCTCTTGCAAACTGTGATAGATGGTTGGAACAAGTTAGGTGAGAAGGTGGTGGAGGCCAAAACTGTCGGTAGTTTCAAGGTGTTGTGACAAAGAGTACTGGAAAGACGGGACACCACGAGCGTAGTGCTCATCCTGTAACTACACTTAGGTAATTACACTTAGGAAATTACCAGTCTGTAGTTATATTGTGCACAATATACTCAGTAGCCATAATCCACCATTCTGTGATTGTATTGTGTTCAGTATAGTTGTCAATAGTATTTTCAACATATGTATGATTGTTTACATTCAATTTGATATGAAAATGTTCGTTTTAACAGGTCTGGTTGCTATTGGTACAAGCCTTGGTCTCAAACTACTACCGCCAAGAAAAAAGATTAATGTGATGTTAATGGGCAATCACTCTGCTGGCAAGAGCTCATTTGTCAACTGGTGAGTGTTGCACGAGAGTAATTATTGTTCCTTAACTTTTTTTTGAGGTATGGTGGCAGAATGGTGTTCATACTGGGCTGGCAGTCCAGTGGTTCTGAGCTCAAATTCAGTTTAACCCCTATAATACTAACCTCATTTATAAACATAATTTGATATAAGCATACACTGCTAACAGCATTTGTAAAGTATTATCACATGTTGGCTTGGAAGACAGTGTCACCAGTTGTATGATTCCTGCAGTCAGTGGGCTCGGTGTTTCTAGTGCCCAAAATATTTACAAATAAAATTTTTTCGGGGGTGGCTACCCCTCGGTGGCTCCTCAAACAACACACCAAGTTAGTTTGAATCCTATAGCACCCCTCAGGCCCTTGTGAGTCATGGGCATCTGCCATAGTCCAGGACCATAATCGGGCATTCTTAACACTTTGCTAGGACCAGCGCCCGACCCCCAGCACACCCCAAGGTCAACCTAACGTTTCCCATGAGCGCGCACCCGCACTAAAATGTTTATACTGTACTCTCTTTTTTTACTTTTCCCACCTCAATTTTTGTGCTACGTCGTTGATTTTGGTATCAAATTGTTTGCAATAGAATTCTCTAAAGGGATATTTGCACATAAGGTCAAAAGGCTTGGTGCGCCACCCACATCAAACTCGAAAATCAGCTGAGCATTACCCATGAATCCGCACCCACCCGCACTCAAATATTTATATGTACTCTTTTCAGTGTTTTTACCTCAATTTTTGTGCTTCATCATTCATTTTGGTGTCAAATTGTTCACAATACAATGCACTAAAGGGATTTATAAGGTCAAATGGCTTGGCACGCCACCCACAGCACACCCAAAGTTAGGCCGAGTTTTACCCGTGAGCTCGCACCCACCCACCCGCACTTAAATATTTATACTCTTTCCAGTCTTCCCACCTCAATTTTTGTGCTATGTAGTTCTTTTTGGTCTCAAATTGTTCATAAGTGAAATGCACGCATTTGAAAACTTGTCCCATAATAATCGAACAATAACCGGAATTTTAACAATCATTTTAATTTTGGATGCAGAGTGTATCCTCGCACATACACTGAGTATATTCATATACAGACACATTATGTGTTATGGGTCAGGTAAAGTGTTAAGTGAAAGCCAAGATAAGGTTAAATAAAAAATGCCTAATAATCGCCAGTATTCGAACACCTAGGGCCCCTTGAGCGATGATCTCCCTATAGATGGAAAAATTGGAATCACTTAAAGATCAATGTTAATTTTATCTAGATATGGTAATAAACATAATATTTTTGTCATCAGAAAGACAGAAATATAAGCTACATTTTAAATCATTTAGCCAAAAAACTAACCGAAGGGAAAGCAGAGATACGGTGCAGTTGTATATGTATATTTAGTAAATTACTTGTGTGCTGGTTGCGTCCTGCACACCACAATTCAATTGTGTAATTTACATTGAGACCTGTTGTGGTATCGCAGCTATACAGAACCAAGATGGTATGGCTCACCATCACATAAATAAACAAAAATGCTGCTATTGGTCCTTGAAGTGTTTAAGTTGCAGGTGGAAACAAATGAAAATCAAATAAATAATTAAAACAATTTACTGAAATATTAATGAACAAAAATGGCAACTAAGAACACTTGGCAGTCATATAATGCAAAGGTGGACAAGATAATATGAAAATTAATACAAAAATATACTGTAAGAACAATGAATACAATGCATGAAGATATACTGGTGTACTGAAGACAGCTACCATACCACCACGGCATCAGACACACGTTGTTGGCCGAGGGCAGGTGACGGGTGAGAGAGCAACACATGTGAGGATGACCATAAAGGCAGCCGAGTAAATTTCTTCAGGGAAGGAGGAGGCAGTACAGAATGTCCCTTCCTCAACAATTAGGAAGTGGTGTAGACTGTGGGAAGAAATGCAAACCTTTGTTGAAACAACTCACCCAGAGCAAGCTGTAGTAGGCCGTTGCCTTAACCTTTTCAATGTCACTGCGATGCATCACTACAGTCAAATGTTAAAGCGAAGGGAAAAATAAGTGTTGTTAGACAAATTTTTAGTGAGACAAGCAGTGAACCACAACCAGGTCTTTGTGGTATGCAGGCAAAACGTAGGAGAGAGTATACCCCAGAGAAGTCATCACTGCCCGATGTTATAATGGAAGGGGACTCCTCTTCCAAACAGTAACACCTCTCCTTTCCCTCATCACCATCTTCTATACGCCATAAAGAGTCCTCCATAAAGGTAAGATAAACATATGTATGGTATTGTAGTTATAGAAAAAAATTGTATTCAGTATATGTAAAATTTATTTTTAAGTTAATATTTTTTGGGGTGTGGAACGGATTAATTCAATTCCCTCTATTTCTTATGGGAAAAATAGTTTCGACTTACGATACGTCTCTGGGAATGGATTACCATCGTAAATCGAGGCCCCACTGTATATGCTAATTAACTTAAAAGTTCTATATATGAAAGGCAAGATAGAGATATAGATGTTATTGTAACTACATTTCAAGGAATATATCTTATATCATGGAATATATCATGGAAGTTAAGACATAATGAAATAAAGAATATCTAACAATTGTCAATATTTGGACACCAAGGCAACATTGACTAGCCAAAAGGGGAATACAGGCTGCACAATAATGATAAAGTAAGTCATGTTAATATTTTTTGTGGAGAGTCCCTTCGGCTCCCTGGAGCTATACTGGGCTGATGTGCATATATTTGATCGTGGCAACAGTCAATCGATGGAGTTCTAGGCCTAAAGGGGACCAGAGCCAGAACCTGATCCCCCTCAAGAGAGGCACGAGGAGTAATGGCTTATAGACACCCCTCGTGTAATTGGAAGCAGTCTGTCTGCCATCTACCAGGTCAGGCACCCAGAAAGGTAGGAATTCCAAAACAAACTACAGCTGGTCAAAAATTGCAAACTGAAAGCTGAACTAGCAAGCAGAACTCCCCAATCAAAAACAAGCAAACAATCATGATGCCACCACAACCGTCGCCAGCCGTCTGCGCAACCTCCTCCCCCCCCCCCTCTCCCAAATGGGGACCGAGAGGAGGGGAATCTCAGACTTCTGTGTTGGCTACTTACTTCAGTTAAAGAGGCTGTTGTGTTGTGGCGGTCGATCGACTCTGGCTCCATCCTTTGAGCAGTGCTGCAGAGCGGTGTTGTTTTTTTGTGTTGATGGTTTGTGAGCCAGAAGTAACACAAGAGTACTGGGGCTGCATGCACCTAGGGCTATCTTCCCTAGGTGCCTTGTAAGTACCGCCTTTGCAGCTTAGGCTGATCTTCCGTGAGCCGTTCAGGAAAGACTACCTCCATGTGGTTCTGTCACTGCTCGGTGATTGCCTGCCCCTGGGGGTCAGCTGGGGGATTCTTACACCTGTTTGACCCTAGGTAGGCGGTAATATTGTCGCTGGCTGGAGCGCAAGGTACTGTGCAGCTGTCTAATATATGCATAGCGACCTGGAGACGTTGTGCTGGTGGTGAGACTCGGGCGGCTTTGGGGATTACCTCTTCCAGATCGGCGGTAGAGGCATTCGAGCCTGTTCCTCCTGCCGGAGCTTTTGGGTCATGTCAGTGGGCACCCTTCGTCCCTGCTTTTCTGGTGGACTCTGCTTTTTCTCCAGAGGCAGAGGGTTTGGAGGACGGCTCGGTCCCAGGTCCTGACATGAAGGATCCCAGGACCCTGGAGGAGTTGTATTGAGGGGCTCAGGCCCCGTTTGACCCTGCTTTGGTGTTGGTATGCTCAGTGTGGGGCTTGTTGTTACAGGAGGAGGGGATTTTCCTATCCCCTTCCCCCCCTTGTACAATTTTGATGAGTTAGACTCCTCCCTGGGTTCGGATCTGGGTTCCCTTGGGTTTTTTGCTTCCCCTCCTTCCGGAGATTTTCAACTTTCCACATCCCACCGAGGTAGGTGCGGGAGGTTCTTGCGGTTTACCTCCTGCGAGATCCGAATCACGCCTTGATAATGGATCCTTCTTCTTTTGAGTTTGGCTCCTCTTTCTTCCTTATTGGGTGCATTACGAGGTGTCAGAGTCTTCTTGGCTGGCAGATTACCCTTTCTTTTCGATAGGGGCTTGGCATTCGTTCTATTGGATCCGCACACTTGAATGATGAGAGTTGACTACGGTTGTTTAGGTTTACTTGGAAGGGGGGGGGGAGCAAGTTTGAGCACCTCGATGCGTGCTTTTTTTCCATCCTTCCTCGTGATGTCGACCAGGTGCAGCTTCACATGCAGATTTTCTCCCTTTCAGCATCCTTGGTGGCCGAGAATTTGTGCACCCGTGGCCATTTGGCTTCGGTCTTGCGCTTCTTTTCTCTGCTGGAGCTATCTTTGGACTGGCTCGTGAAGGATGTGGAGGAGCTGGGTTCCGGGCTGGTGTCTGGTGTGCTTGCTTCGGCAGCTCAGGCGTCGGCTGCCTTGTTGAAGTTGTATGCACCGATTCTGAAGAAGGCAGGGTGTCTGTTCTTTCCTTCTCGCCTCGCGTGCCAACAGGTGGTGCTCGTCCACTCTTTGGAATCTGCTTGGGCTCTGGCTCTTGGATTTTCATCCCCCTTTTTGTCCGTTTCTGTTTACACAGTCTGCAGTGGTGCATTTTCTGCAGGCGACTTCGTCTAGTTGCCGGCCTATGTCAGACTTGTTGGTTCTGTGGGGAGAGGGGGGGGGAGGCGTGGTGGTCCTGCCCAGAAGGATCATGCCAGGGCTTGGAGTTCCTTCTGTCGTTGTAAGTCAGTAGTGCCAGATTCGGGGCCCTACCCCTCCTGCGGAGCTGTCGGCAGAGCTGTCGGCATCTGATCGGCACAGTGGTCGCTCAGAGTGTTGGTCGGGCTCTCCTAGGGGTCGTCGGTCCTTTTGTGATTCGGCCCATTGACGGGGCGATAGGGGGGAGGCTTGTGCTGTTTCCTCTAACCTGGTTCCACAATTCATGGGCATTATGGGTCATTTCCTCCAGCCAGCAGTGGTGTTGGGTAGTTCCTCTTTCTTTGGGAGGATCGGGGCTGGCAGGGTGGGCCTCTTTCCCTGGGCTCTGTCAGATCATCCTGAAGTGGGTTTGCTTGGGCGTGGTCGAAACGACGGCATCCCTCAGGTGGGTCTCCCGCCTGTTTTCAGTTCCGAAGCAGAACTGTGCGAATCTGCGATTTATTCTGGACTTGTCCCGTCTGAACCCCTTGGATCGTTTGCCCCTCCTTTCGGATAACCACTCTCTCATGTCCGGCTGTTTTTGGTGCCGGGTGCTTGGATGGTGTTTCTGGACCTCCGGGATGCGTATTGGCATGTCCTGGGGTTCAGGGACTGGCTCAGTTTTGTTGTGGGGCAACAAGCTTACAGCTTTTGTTGCCTTCAATTTGGCTAATCTGGCACCTCGCATGTTCACGTGCCTTACCCAGGTCGTGGTGACCCCATTTGTGTCTTGTTAGCAGTTGGTGTTCTGGCTTACCTCGACGACTGGCTCTTCTGGGCTCCCAGCCAGTCCACGTGTCTGCTCGCCAGGGATTTGGTTCTTTCCCAGCTCGCCTGGTTCGGGTTTTTAGTGAACTGGAGGAAGTCCCATTTAGTTCCCTCTCAGGTTCGGACTTGGCTGGGTCTTGTGTGGAACTCTCGGACCGCTTCCTTGTCTCTCCCTCCTGTGGCGGTTTGCGGCTGCAGTTCGGCCTTCAACTGTTTTTGGAGGGCACCCGGGTCACACATCGGTTGTTCGAGCAGCTGTGCGGAAGTCTGAACTTCGCTGTGCTGGTCTACTCATCGGGTCGGATCTGGCTTCGACAGCTGTTCTGGTTCCTTTGGGGACGTCCCTTTCGCCGCTCTCATGATCGCTGGGTTCGGACCCCGAGAGCCTTGTGTCGGCTGCTGCATCTCCGGCTTCCTCTTCATGTTTTTTTTTTGGGGGGGGGGTTCTGTACCGTGGCACCATTGGGTTCACAGCACAGCACGGGAGTTTGCGGCAGTGTGGCATTTGCTTCAGAACGTTCGTGTCGCTCACGGAGCAATGATCCAATTCAATTCGAACTGCTCCCCTATAGTTCATTGTCAGAACTGCAGAGGTTCGATGTGGTCCTTGGCTCTGTGGGGTTGGTCGCTTCAAGTGACTCGTCTGCTCAGTTCTCCGGGTTTGGCTCTCCTGGCAGTTCACGCTTAAGGGGTGTCAAGCATCCTAGCAGGCGGCCTGTCTCGGTTCATTCCCAATCCACGGAATTAACGGTCGACGCCGACTCGTTCAGATGGCTCTGTCAGACGTATGGGTGTCTGGAGGGGGACCTCTTCTCATTGGCATGGTTGAGGTGTCTTCCAGTGTATGTGGTGCCCTTCCCTGACTGCGAGGCTGTCGGGGTCGATGCCTTTCGGCAGGACTGGTTGAGGTGGGGTTACATGTACCTCTTCTCACCGGTTAAGTTGCTGCTCTGGGTCCAGCCTCGCTTGGAGACTTAACAGGGGAGAGTAGTCCTATTGGCCCCTTGGTGGCCGGCCCAGCGCTGGTTTCAGGTGCTTCTTGCTCGATGTCCGAACCCGAGGTTTTCTTTTTCACGGCTCCGCCTCTTTCAGCAGATCGGTCTGGTATAGTACGTGGCACGTTCCATCTTCTCCTCCGCTCTTCACATCTGGTATTTTTGACACGGTTAATCACCACTTGAATGGTGATCAGATGGCTGGGTTAATGGTGTCCCACCTTCGAGTTTCATCTAGACGGCAGTATGATATTTCCTGGCGGTCCCTTCGCCACTTGTTGTCTCTTTATAGGTTGTCTTCGATTTCTGATTGGGTTGTTTTGTCCTTTCTGTCTTGGTTGTTTCAGGACTGTCATCTTATGCCAAATACTGTCGCCTTGTATCGTGCGGCACTGGCGGAGTCGCTTCAGCTTGCGTTCGGGGTGGATGTCACCTCTGCTCCATT